TCTCTCTCTCTCTCTCTCTCTCTCTCTCTCTCTCTCTCTCTCTCTCTCTCTCTCCCCGCGCCCGCTGTTTACCCCAGCGGACACATTTTCATGGAAAACTTCGGCTCTCCCACAAGAAGAAGAAGAAGAAGGAGAAGAAGATAGTAAGAAACAGAAGAAGAAGAAGAAGAAGATAGAAGAAGAAGAAGAAGAAGAAGAGGAAAGTGAAAATTTGGGTCACTTACCTTCAACGGTGGACGACGGGGCGGGGCGATGGTGATCCGAGGCCGTGGCGGACGTGGGAGGGGTGCAACCCAGTCGCAACCTCGTTCACTTTCGACGAAGTGTCGAAGTGACGGGTTGGAGGCTGGAGGCTGGCTGGAGGCTGGAGACGGGGTGGCGGGGCCGATCGTTGGCGGCAGGTCGGCAAGTCGAACTTCGGGCGGTTTCCCGCCCGAATGTTCAAAAACTGCGGCCTATCTGGGCCGCAGATCTCACGAGATCCACGGCCCAGATAGGCCGCCAGTTTTTTAGCTTTCTGGCGGGCCTACCGGGCCCGATTTTATTTTTTTCGGGGCCAGGAGGCCTCCACGACCCGCATGGAGGCCTCCCGGCCCCAAAAAAAAATCAAACCCCCCCGCGATCCACTTGCGCGAAATGCCACCGGGGGGGAACCGGCAAGGTCCACCGGCCGGTACTACCGGACCGGTTCCGGTGGGGGAAGGGGGCCCCGGTGGGACCGGAAGTTCAGCCTTGCATTACATTGAAATTCACACACGCTTCCTTCCGTTTGGCCGAAGGACCCCTGAACAGCATTGATTGCTCCACCTTGGTGGAGGATTGACTGTCAGCTTGCCATGTCCCTCTCTTTCCTCTCAGATCTGGAGGCCAGATCTGCCAAATAGTACTATGCCACCTAGAAAGAGCTCATCCTTTGTCCCTGCTGGCCTGCATCCTCCCCACTCATCTGCCCTGCCCGTGAGGCGTGCTATCCCCTGTCCCATTTTATCTGTCCCCCTTTCTTTAAATCATCACTAAAACCCTGAACTTTAAGCCCTCAACCTGTGTACCCATACTCCAACATCCCTTTGAGTCAACCTTTTCCCCTTGTTCTGGTCTTTTGGTGCCATCCATCCATCTCCATGTTATCCATCCATAGCTGTAGTAGTTTAGGCTTGTCAATCTCCCGTGGAAGTCTGATCAGGAGGTGTTTTGCCGTCCACAGTTATCTGTTGTCGCTAGCCTCTTCCTGAGTTTGAATTGTGCCAGTCTTTCCGGCAATTGCAGTCATCTCGAAGTGATTGCTCCAACCGCCATTAACCGCTGTTGGAAGCTCCTTTCTGGCGCTGAGTTATGCCACTCTTTCCAGCAGATACGGTCCTCTCGTACCTCTGCAATCTTGTTGTTTAACAACCAATTCTTGTAAAACCTCAGTCTCTCGTTCTTTCGCTGTTCCTCGTCTTCTGTCCAGGCTTGCTTGATCTTCCGCCATCTGCAAAGGGTCTCGTCTTGTTTCATCGTTCTGGTTTCCACCCGAACCTTCTCCCGTGGTCTGGACTGTCCTTCAATTGTTCTGCTGCATCTCTCTTTCCATATGACCCATAACGTCACCTTCCTGATGAGTCCGAACCAGACCTTTTCTGTCTTTCGAACCTGATCGGGGATGTTAGTCAAGAGGGGAAGTTGGATGGGTTGCTCAGGGAAGGGGGTTGAGGAGAGTGAGTCCCGGAGTGCCGAGGCTCTCGTCCAGTATTCCGTCGCCTCTTCAACACAAGTCTTTTCCTGCCTTGTGCGTCTGAATGGGGGATATTAGTCTATAGGGGAATTTGAAAGGGTTGCTCGGGAGAGGAGGTTGGGAATAGTGGGTTCCAGATAGATGCGACTCATACTCAGCGTTCTGTCTCCTTTTTACTGTGTAATTTGTAGTGAGTTGTATCCCCTTCCACGTTCTCGGTGCAGACTGTGCATGATTCCGGACTGTTGTGCTCCATATCTTTCCGTCTGATGTATGGGGCGGGGTTCGCCCGAATGTCTGCATAGACCTTTAACCGTTGCAGCCTTCTGCTTTTCAGGGGAAGAATGTGCCTTGGGCGGGCCTTTTTATCCTCTAATCCCAGTTTACGAAGCGTAAGCTCCCCCCTTCTGTTTTTGCAATTTTGTCTCCCATCAGCCAAGTTTTTTCGAATCTTTTCAGACTCGACTCCCTCTTGTCTGGTTGTATTATCCTTTGTTGTTCCTTTTGCTCTCTGGACCAGCGGGCTCTTATTTCTGTTTTGTATTATTAGTTTTGTTTCTGTCCATCTCTCTTCTATGCTTGGTAATTGGCCTTCTATGGTACCTTTGCATCTTGCCTTCCAATTTACCCAAAGCGCTGCTCTCCTCCATAGGTCGGCCACACTAGTTGATTCTTCGTTTACTTCTTCGCTTTCCAATCTACCTGTTAGGAGGTATAACGGGCTTGGGGAAACTGTGTCCTGTTAGTTTATTCCAGAGGATTCTAGTTCTATTCCATATCTCTTGTGCTTGGTGGCAGGTTATTAAACAGTGGACCAAGGATTCTTCGACGTTGTCGTCGCATACCATGCACAGTGGGCTTTGTTGTTGGGATTCTTCCTGTTTCCTCCTTTTGGCTAGCCATTGGTTGACCGTTAGTGCCCAGTAGAGTATCAGCCACTGTAGACTTCTGATTCTTGCCGGTCTAACGTTTGTGTATTGGCGCCATGGGATTTTATTAACCCATCCTGCATTTTCGCTAAGGTTCTTTTTCCATCTTTCTGAGATTACTGGTTGGGGGTCCTTTGTGCGGTTGCCTAGTTTGTAACCTATTTTGACTTCATACTCATAAATTGGGATGAGCTTCTTAGCTCGCCCCGAGCTACTAGGGACCATCCACCCCCATTCCGCTGGGTCCACCTCTAGGTCCTTGATGTCCAACTCTGGTCTGAATAGCCTAACTCTGTTTGGATCTGGTTGGCTGGGAGGGCTCTGTTTAAAACCAATCTTGGGTGTGCATGCGCGTACTATTTTGAGTGTGTTAAGATTTTGTGTTGATCTTGCTTCTAATGTTTTAGCTGGTTTTACCCACGATTTGTGTGCCTCCTCCAGCTCATACACAGCAAATTCAGCTTTCCCTTCTTCCGTGTCTGTCACCTGGATCAATTTGTAGGCGACGGACGGACGGTCTGCCTCCTTTTTTGTGGCCCAATCCCCTACTGACCACTTGGGCTTGCTTTTCAGAAGGAACACCCATTTGAGCGGGATGCTTTCTATGAGTTTGTCTAGGTGTTCCTTTAGATTGTGAACCCCTTTGAGTTTGGATCTGAGTTCCTGTTTGGTGGTCCATCTGTTTTCGTCCGGGTTCCATATGTGCTATATTTTCCACACTCCCTTGCTCATCCATTTTCTCCACTGTCTGCCTTTCGTGTTTAGGGTCCATATTCTGCCATTATGGTCTGTCAGCAGGGGATTCCCAAAAAGCGGTTGTCTCAGGACTTCCTCTCTTATTCTTGGGGTTCTTGACTTTTGCGGGAAGCAGTTTCTCCAGTGCTTTATTAGTGTGGCCCAGTGTTCGCTCGGTGGGTCCTTGTCCTTCGGTATTCCTCCCCTTTCCCTCCTTCTTGGGTTCCATGAGGGGTTGAGAATTCAGTGGTATCCCTCTATGGAGGGATCGACTCTGAAAGGCACTAGGTTGCGAATCTGATGGAGAGCCATTTCGTGCCATGGTAGTTCCCTGTTGAAAAGGAGTTTTATTAGCCACTTGTGTTGCAATGCTTGAAATTGTACTGCGGGGTTCAAGAGACCTAACCCACCTTGAATTTTGGGTCTAGTGATGTACTTCCAGGCCACTTTGGTGATGTACTTTTATTTTTCTACTTTCCAGTCCAGAGGTAAGATCCTAGTTTTCTTTTAAGGGTTGTGAAAAATCTTGTTGGTGGGTTCCAGAGGGATGCTACATACCAGCCCGTATATAGGATTGCGGTATCAAGGAATAGCACTCTACCCATCAGTGATACATTCGTTGCTTGTCATCCAGCAAGTTTGTTTGTCATTTTGAGAAGAAGACTGGTTCCTGATACATTGCTTGTTCCTTCTGTTGAAATTTGGATGCCAAGAAAGCGCATCGGTTGTTGAGCGTCCAGCCATTGCAGTCCTTGGGTGATTTGGGTTTGTTGGGGAGGATTAGAGGGGGCTAACCACCATCCAGCTGTTTTGTTCTAGTTAATTTTCATTTCAGCTGCTAGTTGGAAGGCTTGCATGGCTTTTGTGAGGGCTTGGAAGGAGGAGTCAGAGGCCCTTATCAGCACAGTTAGGTCGTTCGCGAAAAGTATAGTTGTGGGTATGGGGAATGACCTTCCATTTTGTTGTATGACTAACCTTTCTATTGAAGGATCCTTGCGGAGGAAGGCTGCTATTGCTTCCATCACAAACAGAAAGATTGGTGCTGCGAGTGGATCTCCCTGTTTGACCGATCTGATCATTCTGTATTTCTCCAAAAGATGTCCATTGACCTGTACCATTCCCCTGGCATCCCCGTATAAGACTTTCACCCATTTGCGGAAGTTTGGTCCTACCCCCATTTTTTCCATACTCTGTTGGAGGAAATCCCTGTTTACCTGATCGTAAGTTTTTTCAAAGTCAAAGAATAGTATGGCCGCTTGTATTTTATTGTCTTTTATGAATTTGGAAGCTTCGTTTAGGGTTATTACATTGTCTAGAATGTATCTTCCCGGGATGAAACCTGTTTGGTTTATGCGGAAGCATTTGTCTGTTATATTCCTTATTATATTAGCTAGGTTTTTAGCTAATATATTGTATATTATTGGTAAGAGGGTTATGGGTTTGTAGTTTCTTATATGTGTGCGATCGCCTTTCTTGTATATTAATGTGACCACGCCTGTACTGAAGTCCTCTCCTATAGAGCCTTTAGTGAAAACTTCCTTGAAAAAATCGGTGACTGTATTGCCTACTAGGTGCCAGTTAGCTTGCCAAAACTCTTTGGGGAGCCCGTCTCTACCCGGAGTTTTGTTAGGCTGCATACTTTGGAGGGCTTCGAATAGCTCAGACTTAGTAATATCCTTTTCTAGGATTTCCATTGATTCTTGATTGATACTTTTGTCTAGATGCTTTAAGAATTTCTCTCTTGCTTTCCTTACATTGCCAGGATTTTCAAGGAAAGTTTTAGACGCGTATAGGTTCTGGTAGAAATCAGACGCTACTTTGCGGAGACCTTCTTCTGAGGTTTGCGTGGTGCCTAGGGAGTCCCTTAAGGATTGTATTGTGTTGTTCCTGTGGCCTGTTTTAATCCTTTGGAAGAAGTATTTTGTCATGCTTTCATTGCTTTCCCAATCCTTTACTCCGGCCCTTATGGCCAGCCCTTATCTTCTCCATTCTGCCCATTAGCTAAGCTTTGTACGCGCTTCCTCGAGAAGCTGTTCGTATAGGCTCGCTCCTGGGTTAGATATTAGATTCAATTTTGCGATTTCCACCATGGCCTCAAGGCTTTGTTGTCTTGCCCTCCTTCTAGTAGCCTCCTTTCTTGAGAATAGACTCGCCCAGTGACTTATTTTCCGGATGGAGGGTGGGAGGTCTCTTATCAAATCTCCCTCTTTCAGTTTCTTTTTCATTTCTTCCCACCTGTCCTTGAATTCTTGTTTGAATGATTCTAACATGAGAAGTGAGGTATTCAACTTGAAAAAAATTTTCTCGGGGGAGTTATCTGGGGATAGGGCTAAGTTTATGCCAATCGGGTTATGATCATATCCCTCGTAGTGGGGAATTCTTCCTATTGTGGTGTCTAGGACCGCTCCTTCCAGGGATTCTGATAAGAGGAAAAAATATATTCTTGAGAAAGAAGTTCTGCCCTGCAATGTTTTCCTAATACAGGTATAGTCTTTTTTTCTTTAGGTTAAGGGTCCTATAGGGGTCTTTAAGGTTATGTTCTGTAACCTAGTGGGCCAAAGCCGTCTCTGCTGGATCTTGCGAGTTTGTTGTGCCCATGAGATTCTATCCAACTGAGGGTTCGGGGTAGTGTTCCAATCTCCCACCAGAATCACGTGTTTTTGCGGTTGTATTAGACTTCTTACCTCTTCGAAAAAGGTCATTCTCTCTGCTGATGAGTTTGGGGCATAAAGTTTTATTAGAGTGATATCTTCCCCCTGAAGTGTTAACTCCAATTTGGTCCATCTGCCGCCTACTGGGTCCGTTACCGTGGATTCTAATTGTAGTTGGTGTGTGGCTACTGCGCGGTTGTGTATTAAAGTGATGACGCCTGCTGAGGCTGATTGCGGGTTGTGTGCTGAAACTGCTGCGGCGCAGTTTTTTAGTCTACCTATGATTTCCTTTTCTACTATACTATGTGTTGGGGTGTTAGTATAATATGTGTTTCCAGGAGGCAGACTAAGTCCGGGGGGTTTGGGCCATTCCAGCCTGTTGTGTTCAGCAAGCAACTCCACTTTTGCGGATTTGTCAGGACAGTTGCTAGCCCCCTCACGC